TGGGTCATATTAGTGATGTTGTATTGCATCATGACAGCCATGTGTGGTATTGGCAAAACAGCATCTTGATAGGGGGACGGCCCTTTTTTTCTCATTTTAGGTACAAGTTGATACTACTCTGCACAAGAAAGTGAGGGTGTACTGTCAGAGTTGAAAATCAATTCTGGGAACACTAAAATGCCCACCTATTGTATTTTAACAAACACCTGTCACAAATCTGGAAAGATGAGCCTCACAAGGGCAGATAGTTCCTAGCAAAACCTGATTTATCATCTTGTCCTGAATCTTGTATACAATAGAATCCCACTTATGTCATTAAATGTTAATAATCATACTGTGTTTCCTTTACAATAAGGTACTATGCTGCATAGTCCAGAACCATAACATAAGGGAGAATAGCTGCTTGGCCTGTTATCAGCAGAAAAACTTGCTGTTTTTTTCCGTTCAATAATTCAACAGCAAACTGCTTTCTCCCTTTTAGACACATATATTTAGTGAGTTGGTTAGCCCGATATCAGCAGGCAAATGTGCTAAATTTGTTTCCGTTCGTGTTATTGTTCAATAATTCAGCAGCAAGCGAAAACATTATTTTCTTGTTTTACTATATATATATGTTGTTTGTTTGTTGTTATCTGGCCATAACATTTAAGCAGTTACATAAAAATTCTTCCTGGACACTTTACAGAGGATTCGCTCAAGCCTGTATTACTCAGTGCTGCCAAAAAAGGGGCGCCCTGCAAAAAAAGTTTGGATATCTCCGATAATGATATTCACAAACTATATCCTGTATATGTTAATTGGATCCATATTTATTGGCTAAATGCTATATGCCTAAATCACTGTGTAGCCAGATATTCCTGTGCCTCCGGGCACCGTAGAAGTTGCATAGTCTGTGAGATAGATATTACTTTTTTGATGGCCCAATAGTGGGTCTTGCTTAAAGAAGTCCCTTGTACCGGGATATAATTAAGCACAACACTTTAACAGAAAGCTGCATAGAATCTATCCCCACACATAAAGAGGGAGAAATGTTAAGTGTGTCCCGCCCAAACTTTGGTTTTAAGTTTTGTATAGAGTGTGGAGGCATTAGAACCTGTGCTGGGTTTTTACTGCTATTCAGGACTACTTTAGAGAGATTTTCCAATATTTGCTCTCATAATGACAATGGTTTTACCAGGTCAGATGTGAGGAAAAATTTGCAACAGTGGCAGCAAAGACAGCAAAATATACATTTTGTCTAGCACAGGCAGAAAGGGTTACAACCAGTAGCATAACAATAGCCATAGCAGACCATGAGGCTTTTATGAAGCCTGGGGTAGGTGCGAAGCCCCACGGTGGGGCTGTCAAGGAAGACTAAACTGTGAGGCTTCCAGCATAGAAGAGCTGAAGTCAGATCTCATGATCATAATCACAAGTCACACATCCTCCCTCTGTGCAGTTTAAATTTGGGGGGGGTCCTTTCTAAAGGGTCTGGTATGAAAAGGGCAACATCATGCTTTTTTCTTCTTCTGCGGACTGTAAAAAAAATATATATATTTTTTCCTTTTGTCTAATGTCACTTTGCTGCAAAGAAAATTCATCCGGATTGAAAATTCGTACAGACTTCCGCTGACGAATTTGCATCCCGAAACAAATTGACTCCAACGAACCAAAGAAAACAAAACAAATTTGCCGGATCACATGTCTACCTTTGCCCCTCTGCAGCATGAGCTATCATGAACTCAGAAAAGCAAATGGTCATCTGTTACAGATTGCATTTGTGTCTGATATAGACAAATATCTCAAAAAGTCTACGTAAATTAGAATATCTGTGGACAGCAGTATTTCTTTTTTCCAGTATAATTTTTGTTAGCTAATAGTGACAACTATAATGGACCTTAGTGGATAATAAAAGGCATGAGTGAAGTTTCTATAAGCTGTTCCTCATCTCATAATTTTCTGGTAGAAAAGCAGAGGTGACTTTATTACATTTTACCATACACATTGCTGCAATAGACAAATCCCCTGATATAGAAAGACTTCTCACTGTGCAGAAGACTTACACAGTATGCAACATTTATCTCTATTTCTTCCAGCAATATTTTAAAATAAATAAAATAAAATAAACATTGCCATTAGCATAGATTAATTGACCAGGGACTCCTAATGAGTTCTACATTTTTGGAGGCATATCCCAATAATGCATTCCTCCTGACTTTCTGCTAATTAAATCATATCTGATTGGTAGAATTTCACTTGGTGTCTCTGCTGTGCCAAGCTCCCTTTTCTCTTTGAAAGATCTGATGAGAGCTGGTTTTGTTTTCACAGCTAATAGCTCCCCTGCTGCACTATCGGCATCTGCCTCGGTTTGCAAGAGTTTTATACACTTAACCCAGTGCAGCAAATGTATTGCCTCTGAGAGTTCCCATTAGAAAATGTTGCATATGTATAAAATACAGTCAGAAAGACATGTATTTCCAATTCTTCTAGCGTCAGTGGAAAATTCACTAGCGGTCTGCATTTCTGTTCCAGTGGATTGACATATACTCAGTATGTGGATATATAACAGATGATATTGAATTGATCTTCCTGAGCTTCTCAGCAATGGTGTGGGCTCAAAAGCATCACAATCATGTCAAGCATTTCTGCCCATGTACATTTATGCAACCAAGGTTTGTTAAACGTAGCAGAGCTATAATGTTTATGTTTTTATATTCTGTCATTATTTGGAATATGTTATTAACACAAAGTTAAGCAGCCACTACGAGCTCCCACCAGCCCACATGTACACTACAACAGCACTAAAAAACACCAGATTGCTAATCTGGATACTGGAGTTGCTCATTCATTGGCATGTTGGTTTCATTTGGCATGATAAGGCACGTTTTGAACTGATAAAGGATTTGTACTGCATCATATGTCCAATATACCCATTTCTCTTATCGAACAAAGCTATAATAATGTTCCTGTGGTCAAATGCGGCAATGCACACTAACCAATCTCTTTACATTACCACGTATCTAAAATAAACATGTTTCATATTTACAGTGCAGTGCAGTGCAGTGCAGTACAGTTTCAGATCATTAAACACATCTGCCACTAGTTTTCTTACAGTAAAGCTATACTACTTCCTATAAATGCTTTTTGTTTAGTGCCCCAACAGCATCCCAGGTGCTACATTTGAGCATCCTGTCCTTCTTAAGCAACCTTAGGATTCTTAAAGTGCATATACATATTCTTAACAACCATTATAAATAACCCTCACTGATCTGAAGATTATGAAAATACCTTAATGTCCATAGTCTGGACACATGAAATCCTTTTGCTCCTCGGCTCCATCCAGTGGCTATAATGTGGTGGGAATGTAAAAGCCAGATGTTTGTGAATCGAACAGCTCTGCAAATGTTTTATAAATACAACCTTAAAATGCCTTGAATCATCAATTTCTATGTTTGTGGAATATAGAAATAAGGTTACATCCTGTAGCCCCAAACTCTGCATTAATATTTTTGATGTCTTTTTATCAGGCATTTTTTAAAACACACAGCTTATTACAGGATATCAGTACCATTATTGGCAAATTGCTAAACATAGAAATGGAACATTTCACTTCTATACTCAACATCTTTTTTTTCTGTTTACTTTTGAATGCCTTAGAGTCCACACATTAGGCCAGGCCTAGTAAATGAGTTCAGGGCCTTTGTACACAGGCTTTTTGTTTACATCAGAGCTGCTTTGCTTTCCGTAATACAACGTTAAGGGTGACCATGCTCTCTGGCTAAAAATGTCTTAGGGGATCTATTCACTAAGCTGCCGTAGGCTGGTACGGCTGATTCCAGCTGTATATCGGCTGAAATCAGCCTTACATCGGGTGGCTTTGTGTGGCTTCGGGTCGGCCGAACATGCTCATCATGTTTGACCCGACCCGAAGTGCAGAAGGAGCTCGACTCAGCCGATCCAACATCTGTATCGGCTAGGCCAAACCTCCGGCAGGCTACTCGCTGCTGTTCGGCCTATTCTCATAGATGCTGAATAGCCGCATCCCGCCGACCTATTCTGTGGTACCGAGCAGAATAGAAAAACAGTTAAAAAAGTAGTAAAAATAAAAATAGAAAACGATTGGGCGGAGCTAGCAGTGACAGCTAGCTCCGCTCAACTGTTTTCTATTGGCCGCATTGAATGCATAGCTAGATTCCTATTGGCTATTTCACTTTACAATAGTCAATAGCAAACTAGCTATTGCACCCGCCCTCTGCTGCTGTCAATCACCAGAGTGTGACCTGATGTAGAACTGCAGGTCCCCCTCTGCTGATTGACAGCAGCAGTGGGTGGGTGCAATAGCTAGTTTGCTATTGCAAATTGAAATAGCCAATAGGAATCTAGCTATGCATTCCTATGGTGATTTTTTTTATTCTGACAGCAGCCAACGGCTCCGATGTCAGAAGAAAAAAAACGAGCAGGGAAAGGTTTACTCTGCTCGATCGAGCAGAGTGAACCTTTCTGGGAGAAAGTGTTTCTCTCCCGGGCGGCCGGGAGTCGTATTAGACTCCCAGAGCGTCCGGGAGAGCAATGACAGATGGCGTTCCTGGTTACTAGGTAACCAGGAACGCCATCTGTCATTACACACTGAGAACACGGAGAGGCCGGTGTGATATTATAGTGGCCCGGCCGGGTTCTCAGTGTGTAATGACAGCGTCCCTGGTTAGCTAGTAACCAGGGACGCTGATCTCTCTGCAAGCCGGAGCCAGCCGTGCGATGCAGTGTCATCGCAGTTAATCACTTTGAGACAACATGATACTGCATACATGTCATTTACATGTCATTTAATAAACAGTAAATCTTTGGGTTTCATTATGGTAGAGAATGAGTAGAGAATGGGTAGTGTCCAATTTGTGCAATGACAAGCCATATTTGGACTTGTAGTGCTACAACATGTAATATAACCTGTTGCACTTGTTAGCAATTTTTGGATAATTGAAGTAGACTATAATAGATAATGTATGTGTTTTGTTCTGTTTCAGTTGTACACGAAAAGAGAGATGTGAGCGGTCTCATGAGGCTCGAAGATTTGCATCAGAGATGAAGCAGTGTGTCAGACTGACCGTCCATCCTAACAATATCTCTGTCTCTCAGTACAATGTGTTGGTAAGAATCTTCTTGCTCTTTGGAAAGGCATATTGCAGTTTTTGTATCTTTCTTAACTACAGTATATTGTACATATATCAACAAAGGAACCTACCAACAAAGCGAATGGTAATTTCTATAGCTCATGGTTCAAGCTTATTCATTTACTAAATGTAATCATTTCCTCAAATTCATCATTATTTCCATTGTTAATGTAGAAAAACTGATCTGTGTTGAATTATAGCATTCACACTTGTGGAGTTATCTTTGGGAGAACAAAAGCAATTTGCTGGAGGATCTGCGTAACAGCCAAACAATTGCTTCTGAATTGAATCTGCAGGAAGAGAGACCTATTATCCTGTGTATTAGGCCCCAGTGCAGGCTAGAAATTGAGGAAAGCCTCATGGGGGTTAAGCCATTCACAAGGAACAGAAAGCAGAGTAGGGTTCACATCAATTCATTACTATAGGACAGGCAGAACTGTACCTGCATTTAAATGATTGGCCACTTCCACACTGCTGTGCTGCAGAATTATTTTGGACAGGCCAAAATACATTAATGTGTTGTGCACCTTCATATGGATGAACTGGATAGGAAAATAACATATCACACAATCTAGGTTATCTAATGTTTCTGTTTGCCAAACCATTACTAATATTTTCTTACCGCCCTAGACAAAAGACAAGATGCTCTCCTTTTTCTTTAAGCCTGTAACACACTGGTAGTATTTGACACCACTTAAAATCATTATGAGCATTGTCAGTAATAAATAATTATGGCACAACAGCTTGATACACTGAAAAATAACTGCATACTTGACCTGTAAATAAATATAAGGAGAATTGTGCACCATATAATGTAAGCGTGCTGCATTTTCTAGAGCCTCCTATCCGGCATATCCATCCCATCACCACTGTGTCTAACAGCATTTTGTAAACATGAAGCTTGCTGCAAATACTGTTTGGACAGAAACATAAAAACAATTTAAGCCATTTTCCTTGAGAAGATTTATGAAAATTGAAATTGTGTATATATGGAGATTGATGGTTGTGTTTGAGATTCCTAATCAATATGTTGAAGTACACATGTGATTGATTATTAATGCAAATGGCAAAGTGTGATAGCCCAAACAAACAAAACATCAATTAGCTTGGATTGTTCTAAATGCTCTAAACTGATCAAAACAGATTACTACATAGTTGCTATCACTTACTTTGCATTGCACATCATCATTGTGCTTTTTATATAATTGCTGTGATCTGCTAGTTTTGTTATGTTTACAAAAGTGGGCATTCAGGTAGAGCTTCATGGGTGGCACCTGGGAAGCCTCTGATGCAATCTCTTTATCATACACCAACCAATCCATTTTTTGTTGATCCATTTGTTGCAAGTTATATACCTGTCAGTATCTACAATTAAAAACAAAGAAAAAATGGAAAAGCGCACTACAAGGGGTCTCCACTGATCTGGGGGTGGCTACAGTAAATTTAAAAAAAGAAATCTTATTTTATAATGGCATAAAAGATTGAGATTAAGAATATTCTTGAAATAAAAGTAGAAATAAAAAATTATTGTGGTTAAAATTAAAATCCAGTAGTTTAATATACAGTGTGCAAGCTCTATATAAACAGGGTGAGGGACCCTGTGTAAAGTGACAATCGACAAATAGGTGGAGAGCGCTCTAACTGTGTTAAAAAAGGAAGACCACTCACGTTTTGGAAGTTACTGTGATGGTTGGTCACGAAAGACTGATGTGACTGGAACACATAGGATATCACAGCAGGATAAGGGTGGCATCAGGGAGACATAAGGGGAGCTGGCCTGGAGGTGGTGATATGAGAACCGTGGGGAGACAGCTGGCCAGGCTGAATCCTGTCGGCTGTGCGAGATGAGCCCCTCAGTAGCGGTGCTGTCACTGTCAGGTCGCAATGGCGATGGGCTCTGCTCCAGTCCGCACGAGCGTCAGTCAGACTGAGTGGTAGGGGGTGTATTGCTGTTGTAAGCTACGCGTTTCGAGGCTGCTGCCTCTTTGTCAAGCCTGAGATCTCAGGCTTGACAAAGAGGCAGCAGCATCAATGTAAGCTACGAGTTTCGAGGCTGCTGCCTCTTTGTCAAGTCTGACTGCACGTAGCAATTCCAGAGAATCCAGCTCCTTTTTGTAAATGCCAGAGATCTTGGGGATGTCTCTCCACCCACTGGTCGATGCTTACACTCGCCCGCGGGGTTCAATTTCCAATCCGTGGAGGAAACATCCGAGGTGGTTTCAGGCTTGTGCGGCCGCACGGTAAGATAACATATGTTAGAATCCCCACGGCGGTGTGTCCGTAATGCGGTAAAGCCGAAAGCTGAAGGAGATCGAGTGGCAACAGCCCGCTCGCACTTCTCGATCTCAGCCTAAATTGTACAGGCTAGTGCACCAGTGACTATCTGCCGCTCAGATTATCACCCATACTGGGTTATCCTAAGGGAAGTCATTTTAATTGTTTTTAAATGTCTTGTTGTAGGTGTTCTTACTGGTTATTTTGTTACTATTAAATTTTGTCATTTACAAATACTTCATATGTGCAAACCTGTTTACTAAACCAGCTCCAATTAGGGATTTCTTTGTACAGGGGATTTTCTAGTGTTGCACAGTTTATTTGAAACCCTGGAGATTGGTATTTACATTTGCTGCATACAGCGTAGCTCCTTCTGTTCCCCTTAATTAGTGAAGGAATATCTCTCAAATGGGACACATTTTGCAAAACAGTGACAGTGATTTTAACCCTTTGGTGCCTCAAACAAGTGGGAAAATAACTTAATTACCCCTTATACCTAACTTTACACAGCTGTTAGGCTGACCCTAATACCTCCCTCCCTTGAGTTCCAAAATGTAACCCAGTGGAAGGGTTAGAACCTTTGACAATGTGCCTTCCTCTCCCGATTACCATTTATTTACATCTATTCTCTGCACCAGTACACTGTCAATGAAGGGCACCATGATGATGGCCACTTTAGAAGTGGGGCCCATGATAGTCTGTTGCCACAATAGTCCACAGTTTTCCAGGTTGAGTGATTCTGGGCATTATTCAACCCAGAAGACTAAAGACAGCTTGTGGCGAATAAGACATATCGCATGGGGGCAGCTCTGGATTGAAGGTTAGTATGGCAGTCTGGGCTATCTATATGAGGGACATTTCTTAGAAACAAATATTTTCCCCAGAATTTTCCTTTAAGGAAACAGTAGAGAGTTAACCCTTTTGCTGCCAAGGACTTTTTTTTTGTTTTTTTGCACACATGATATAATCCACATTTTAGGCCTGAAAATTACTTCAAACCCCCAAAATATTAAATATTTTATGAAAGCCAACACCCTATAGAATAAAATGGTGGCAGTTGCAAATCTTTAAAATTGCATGCGGCCATGAAACGGCAACAAAATGCAATACTCCAAAACGTCCATAGACGATGATTTAAAAGCCCGTACAGGTCATCAGTTTAGAGATACACGTAAATATTGGCCCTAGAATTATTGCTCTCACTCTGGCATGTGCAGCAATATCGAACATGTGTAGCTCGATCAACGTTTTCATACGTAACGCACCCCACACGTGTTTGTGTGAATGTGCGCGTGGAGCAGAGGGACTTTAAAATGTTTTTATTATTTTTGCATTTATTTTAGTCTATATTTTTTTTACTTTACTTTAATTGCTATCACATAGGGGGACTTATAAGCCTCCCATCTGTTAGCATATAGGCAGTGACAAGTCCTCTTTAAGGTGACACTGAGGGTCCAAAAGACCCCTAGTATCAACTTTCCACTTTAAATAAGCTATTGAAGTGCAGATTGCACTCCACATATCTTATTGTTCAGCTTTCGTAGAAAGGGAAGAAGAAAGACGAGCGGACGTTCACCGCTCTCCTCCCCAGCTATCCGCCGGCACCCGACATTCCAATCCCAGGCCTGCAGGAGGAGGCTGGGAAACACGGCCGGGGGGATGGGCACTCTACTTGGCCCATGGAAGCGATCTGGCGGCAACTGAGCTGCCAGAATCACTTCTATTGTAAAGCCGGCAGCTTGCTTTACAAAGGTTAACAGAGTCTGTTTACAGGGCCATGATGCCAATGACGTACTAGGTACTTCCGTGACCGCGAAAGGGTTAAGCTAGACTATATGCTGTGTAACAATCAAGGTAAATAGAGTTTTAGAGTTAAACATCAGAGCAAACCAGCCACAAGTGAGGTTTAGTCTGTTTCTGATATCATTGTTCAACCGGATGTTGTGTGATGCCAGAAAACTCCAGAAAAGTCCATTCAACTAAAGATAATAGCACCACTTAATAATAAGCGGCCTTTCTGCCTTTTGCAATTGTATTTTTTGAGAATCTTCACTTTTAAAAAGTGTAATTGATTTTCTTTTGCAAAAATGCACTTGATTGCAGTCTTCTGGAGTAATTATTTGCAGCAGAATTATTTTAAAGATTTACAAGATCTATTTTGAATGGATCTTCTGCTCAAAGCAGCGAAGAATAACAATACTATTTCAGCATAATGTGCTCATCCTTGAAATCGTCAATTTCTTTGAGCCGCTCATCTTTTCTTGGTCTTAGCAGCCCAGTCGTATCTACAATGCTTGGTGCATTGGCTTTTAGCAAATAATATTATTGTGCTTGTTCCATTCTTTAACAGCAACAAAAAAAAATCACATCCAATATTGAGTGATATTGAACAATCTCTATAGTTAAACAGCAACATTGTCAAGACACTTTAATTGTGCCTCTTTTAAGCTTCCTGCCTTGGTTTTCCATCTTTTCATTACTTTTAATAGCAAGAAATTTGTTTGCAAGACACAGGCCCTGTTTCAGCTGTTTCTGTATATCGTTAGATTGTAATTAACAAAATATTCAAAAAATTATTAGATGAAAGAACATTTCTTCTTAAATGATTAGTATAATCTAAAGCAACCCTGTTGCTAAGTGGCAGAACTGAGACTAGACTAATCCTGTAAAAGAAGAAGCTTTATTTTCCCCTATCTGATAGTTGGTGAGATGAACCTTAGCTCCCCTAATGAGCTCAGGGCACTGCTGCTATCCCACATGTTCAGGTGTGTCAGATAGTCCCCCACAGGGTGTTGTGGACCCCCCTTCTGACCCTTTTGTCACTACAAGACATAGCAGTAATAAAGAAGTGGGCACACACAGGACATAGTAGTGATAAAGTAGTCAAGCACACTAGAGGACACAGTAGTGATATAGAGGTCAGGCACACTACAGGACCTAGTAGTAATATAAAGGTTAGGCACAGTACCAGACACAATAGTCATAAAGGGGTCAGGCACACTACAGGACACAGTAGTGACATAGCGGTTAGGCACACTGCAGGACTCAATATTAATATAGGGGTCAGGCACACTGCAGGACCCAGTAGTAATATAAAGGTTAGGCACACTATAGGACACAATAGTGATAAAGGGATCAGGCATACTACAGGACAGAGAAGTGATATAGGGGTCAGGCACACTACAGGACACAGTAGTGATATAGGGGTCAGACACACTGCAGGACAATTGTGATATAAGGGTTAGGCACACTACAGGACACAACAGTAATAAAGTAGTCAGGCACACTGCTGGATACAATAGTGATATGGGTGTTAGGCACAAAACAGGACCCATTGAGCACAAAACAATACAAATAGAAGTGCTAACTCTTCTATCAAACTATAAAAAATACTTATAACCTCTATAAAGTTTATCTTCCTTTCTCCCCACTAAACTGGCACCATCTTACTTTTGCCATTATCCAGGGTCATTATCTGCTTCCTGGGCCAAGATAATGGTCCAGATATAATGCACTCATTTAACTCCTGATGCCTGCACTGCT